ATCATCAATTGTTTCTTTTCATTCATCCCCCAAATGGATGAATAAGAAAAAGCAAACCAAGACACAAGATTTCTCTCAAGATCAAGACCATCTGCCTCGTTATCAAACCCTGGTGAGCGATATATCATCGACTTCACCTATTTCTTCAAGACTCGTAAGGGTATGCTATATCAGCGTAACCTTATGAATGGTCGGACAAATTTTGGGTATTCCAAGTATTCAATAAACTCTCAATCAGAATGCACAAGACTCGCGTTTTCTCGCGTTATTCGATCGGAAGATAATTGAATAGGGAAAGCTGTCGTATCTCAAATTTGCCCTACCTCGATGATTTTATTTTTTAAGATTAAAATAGAAAGAATGTTTAATTAAAAATGGTACAACAGTATATGATGGTCCATCTTTATCCAAGACTAGGGGGTGTATTTCAACCCACGAGAGTGAGACTTTTTAAATCAGAAAGACTCATAAGCCTATGGCCCATGCGATTCGAAAATAGAAAATTATTTTAAAAAGATAATAATACTATGTTATTAAACCATTAAGTTCTTAATTATTAAATAGTTGTTATTAGTAAAAGGGAGGTTGAATTTATATATTAATTAAGCCCATTTAAGTGTTTGTTGATGTTAGTAAAGAAATGGGTGAAATTGTAATATAAGGCCCATTAAGTTGGCCCATCTGATGTTTTTTTGAAAAAAAAAGAAGTATTTTTATTAAAAAAGTTGTTTATGATTATTATTTTAAATAAATAAATAAGTAATATATTTGTTTTTAAGAAAAAGATAAAACGTAAAATCAATGTTGATAAATTGCTTAATTAACTTATTATTGTTGCTTTTTTAATATTTTTCTTTTGTTGTTTTGGAAAAAGGCCAATTGAACCTGCCTTAAAATTAAACTGTTTCCTTGCTGTAAGTAAAAAAAACAACATAAGTTGGGCTGTATCAAATAATTAAGTAGCGCAGGCCCAATTCTATATAATCAGCGCCGACCCAGAATCAATGAACAACAACTGTTTCAATTAGCGCACGGTTTCCTCCATAAACAATCACTGTAGCTATCAAATCTAAAAAAAACTAAATCATTAACAAATCAAACCCAAGCCCAGAACATTGAAACTCAAATATTACAGAAAATCAAATATATCACAAATCTCTATTAAAATTAAATCAAATATGAGTATTACAGTAAAACACAATAAGAAATTACATTCAATACTAAATTAAATCAATTAACAATAACTCTAAATCCCTAATTCATAAAAGGGGAGGGCGATTACTGCAAGAATACAGAGGGAAAAAATATAGCAGTACAGAAGAAGGGGAAAATCGTATACAGAGGCGAGGAGAGATTCAGATACAATAGAAGGACCGCGAAGAACACAGTACAGAAGAACAAAGGAGACGCAATTGGGGTTCTAATATCTGGAACCCTAATTATAACGCTAACCACCGAGCACCGCCGTATCGTCACCGTCCTCAAACTCTACTACTACCATTGGAACCTACAAGCAAGAAGAAGAACACTGGATTAGTTCAAATTGGACCAAAAAGCTCAGAGATTCGAACAAGAAATTGCAAAGGGGTAATCTTGCTTAGCTTCTTTTTATTGTTTATATTGGTTTCGACTTACAGTAGCCAGGGTAGGTTGGTAGAGCCGCCGCAGGATTGAGGGTTAGAAGAAGAAGAAGGGTTTGTAACGCGTGAGAGAGAGGAAGTGAGTGTTATGCTGTAAACAAACAAACAAAGGAAATGAATATTAAAAACATGATATGTGTCCGTCTCAATCCCATATCCGCACGCATACTGTAACTAACATGCTCTCCCCAATCTCTTCCGCATGATATCGATCAAACGACCGTTAGGCCAAGTCTCATGGTACTCCCATACTCCCTCACAACACACGATCCACCAAGACCCTTCTCCATAACGTGTTAGGCCTAAGACCAGTATTTTCTGCAACCCCTCCTGCCTTGATTGCTAAACCACAAAACAGTTTACACCCCCTGTTCTGAATACACATTTGGGCCTAGCCCAGTATACTAATTAACACCCCCTTTTTACAGTTTAGTTTAAAAACGACACCCCCGGGGTTAATTAATTTATTTTTCTATATTTTTTTTTACAATTCTTATATTTTCTTCTATTTTCTCTTTATAATATTTATTTCTTTTTTAATAACCATTATTATTGATAATATTAATTTTTTTATAATAATTCAAATTATTATTAATATTAATTGTTATATCATTTTTATTATTATTATTATTATTATTATTATTATTATTATTATTATTATTATTTATATATAAATATTATTATATTAGCATAAATAAGTTATTTTTATTCAAAACTCATGCATATATTTTCTTATATTATTTTCATTTTAAAATATTTTCTTTATCATGCATTAATCAAGAATTTTTGCAATTTATACGATTAAAAAATACTCAACAAATCTCAAACTATTTTTTCACGAACAAACTAATCTAAACAACTATTTTTTGCAAAAGGGTTCAAACGAATTTTGACTAATCGCGCATTTAGCCAAAATAGTCGCAATCATTACAACCGATCAAAATGCGAGGTGATTCAAAATACATTTGCATTCCCTAAAAAACATCACCCCATACGAACTACGAATTGGGACTCTGATTCCTTATAAGAGGATACATATGTATAAGAATAAAATCGTGGCGAGTTCTCCTATTAAAAATTAAAATCTTTTTCCCCTATTAAAAAATTTTAAAACCCCTTCTTACCTAACTGTTAAACCTAAACCTAAACCTAAACCTAAACCTAAACCTAAACCTAAACCTAAACCTAGTACCCTTAAGAATAAGTTAGATGAAAGGTGTCTAACACATTCCTTTCGTCTAAAGAAGTCTGAAACCTAGAATCTCTGTCTGCGAATTAGGGTTTTCTATTAGATTCCCTTCCTTAGGATAAAAATTAGTAGTGGTGATTCTGATAAAAAAACCAGTCGCAATAGTGTGCCAATTTGTTTATCATGAAAATTGGTAAACAATCGCTGATCTTCCAAAAGAGGTTATTTTGGTTACTTGAAGGATCGATTAGATTGATATTAGGACATATGCTAAGTGTTTTTGGGGTTTTATAAGAAGTCTTAACGTTGTTAATGAACAAGTTCGAATGGACACTAAGAGTAAAGGTTTGGATAAGTTTAAATGCACAGGATGAAGGTAAAGGCTCAGTAAAAACGCAAGTAAAGTACATGATAAAGTAAATTTGCAGTAATTTAAATTAGGGGTGTTCAAATCCAAACCAATCCAAATAAAAAACCAAAAACCGATCCAAAAAACCGAAAACCATAAAAAACCAAAAGTTATTGGTTGTGTTTGGATGTTATTTTATGAAAACCGATCGGTTCGGATTGAATTTCGGATGAATTTTTCAAAACCGATCCAAACCAAATCGAACCGCATAAATATATTTTGATACTTATTTACTTTTTATTAGTATGACATGTTATGTGAATTTATTATTAGATGATAATAATATTTATTAGTTTGGTATAATCTATTTATTTTTATTATTTCAAGCATAATCAATCACTCTCATTTTGTAATATTAACTTTTAATATACTATATGTTATATATTATATCAAATCTATGATTTATTAGTAGTTTTATAATATTAATAAAAATATAATGTGTAATTTGGATATTCAAAAACCGATCCAAATTAAACCGCATAAAATTGGATCGGATCAGATTGGATTTTTTTAAATATATCATCCAAAACCGAACCTTAAGTGAATTAATCTTTGGATCGGATGAGTTTTTGCTTTAAAACTAATCCAAACCGAACCGCGAACACCCCTAATTTAAATGGCTGTAATGGTAAAGTTTGCAGAAAAATGTTAAATGGCAAGGATTGTAAAGAAATGTAAAGACTTTGATTGCAATAAAGTATGGTGATTCAAACGTATATTTTCAATATTCTTTCTCTCACAGCGGATACTTGAATAAAATTGAGTGACTTGTACAATGAGTTGAACACATGAAATTCTACACAAAATTCCTATATTTATACTAGTAATAAGTAACTGTCAAACAATTGCTTCGTTCTAGGATGAGGAATGTGTCATCTGCATGCTCTTCGACCCCTATCTTGATGTCACATCGCTTTTCCCAACTTCCAAATGAATTTCCTTTCCCTCCTTTCCTCATATTCAAATCCAATTACTGCTCGTACAAGAGCTTTTTGGTCGAAACTATCTTTAACTTAGAAAATTCTCTAAGTCTTTTTTCCTTCTTAGCAAAGATGACTTTGACACAACTCCTCTCATAAGCTCTTCAGTCAAAATGTCTCCAGCTTAAATTTCTTCAATTTATTTTTAGCCAATAAGACATATATATGTGAGTGTCGAATTTAGGAACTAACCGTCTCCAATTCAGATTACAAGACTTCACCCACACCAATCTATGATAAAAAATGTACCTTTTGCCGCCATAGCTTTCCACACATCAATAATACCCTTAGACAATAGAATTCTATCTAGTCTACTCCTAACTTTTCCATTTGAATTGATCCAAGTAAACTTATTTCTGGACATAGGTAAATCTACCACCTCCATTAAATCGATAAACTTAGAGAATTCCTCCATTTCTATTCTATTACTATGTGTTCTTCCCCTTCTTTCCTCCCTCTCTTTTTATTGCATTAAAATCTCCCCTACAACCCACTCCCCTACTGACAGTTTCTGCATCCAATCCATCATGCAAAGCCACCTGACTCTCTTATCAGCAAGACAACACGAAGAATAAACATTTATAAAATAAACATTAATACCTTTCCAGATATAATTTATTCCCAAGAAACCTTTGTCTTTGAAACTAAAAGTCGGAACTATGATACCTTTTCTCCAAATAGTTACCATTCCTCCTGACCTACCTTCAGAACCCATCGCAGACCATTCACAGTCATCTGAACCCCAAAAGCTTGAAGCCACTTTCTCCTAGATCTTTATAATCTTAGTTTCCTGGATAAAGCACGTGTCCGCCTTTGCATTTGATATTATATTCCTTCTCTACATTAAACTGTAAATGTGAAAATTTAGGTTTCTTTTCTTCCTGCCGCCATCCCAACACTTTCTTCTCCCATTGTACTGGTCTAACAGAAGAGTTAATCTTCATTGCCCGAGCATATGACTTATCAGTGACTTTCTCTTTTGCTATACCTCCTCCACCGTGATAAGTCAGATTCATCCCCCCGCGATTCTCCACCACCTCTTTTCCCTTCCTCCCTCCTATTATTTCTTATATGTTAACCTTCACATCTCCTCTGAAATCTTGGTACATTGATATGTATTTTTCTCCCCTTGATAAAAATACTATCCAATTCCACCTCCAACATTCTTGAATCCTCCACCTTCCGGAACCTGACAAAACCATACCTTCTACCTGGTTTATCCCTCTTCGGAGGTATAACTACCTCGACCACAAGCCCAAAATCTTCAAAGATATTAAACATTTCCTTTGCTTCATACTTCTATGGGAATTCCGAGAAGAAAAATCATAAGATCAATTTCCCCTCCTCGCATTCTTTCCCTTTCTTCGAGTCCTAACGACCCTCAATCTTTTTTTTTTGGCATTTTTTTCCGGTTATTCACCACTCTCAAACCCATACTTTCTCTCTTTTTTTTATTCAAGTTCCTAATTACCCCAGTTTATAATATTAATCGAGGGAAAACATTATTATTTAAATTTTTTTATTTTCTATATTTTTGTTTGATATGTATTATAGAATCATATTTTTATCATTTCTGAAATAAAAATATTGTACCTTTTATCCATTTCTGAAATAGAAATATTATATAAAAAATAATCATTGTTTAAATCATTTGTAAAGCGAAAATGACACACATACACCTTATAATTTTACAATAAATTAAAGTTAAAAAAATAATTAACCAACAAAAATAATAACTAAAAGGCAAAGTTTTATAGACCGTCCAAAAGTTCTTTTCGGTAATTTGTCAGTGATTGTTAAACACATATAATTTGAACAACATTTGAAACCAATTAGGATTATCAACAACAACAACATTAAATCTTTACTAAAAAAAATATAAAAAGATAAATGAATATATATATATATATATATATATATATATATATATATATATATATATATATATATATATATATATATATATATATATATATATATATATATATATATATATATATATATATATATATATATATATATATATATGTATTACTAAGTGATATAAAATACTTATTTACTAGTTTTCTCATATTCCCTCTTGATGATCATGACAAATATCATGCACATCATTATCTGAATTATTTTCTTCAGATGAGAGATGTACATGTGTTGCGAAAGAAGGGGTCTAAAAATTTAAATCTTAATTTTCATCACTATCAGGAATAGATTTTGCTTGTAGAATAATTAAACATCTTGTGTTTCAAGGATCAGTGAAATAAAAATTTGTTTTACTTAGAGTTCCATGATGAGTGGTTCGTTCATATAAGTTTCTTTTTGAAGATCAACTCGTATGAATCCTAATTCATCAATTTCTACACAAGTGTTACTTTCAATCCACTTGCACATAAATAAAGGCACTTTAAAAGTAACACAATCAATCTTCAAAATCTTCTCAATGACTCTAAAGTACGCTATAGATGCTAGTACATGATTCTTATCTTTCGAACTAGAGAAGTACATGGATTCAACTTCAACCATAACCCTACTATTTTGCATGGTACTACGGTCGTCCTTTGATTTTCTATAGAATGACTATTTAGTAATGTCATACGCACTACATGTTATTACATTTAACTTAGGCATATATGAAATTCATTTAATTGTCTCTGATGTACTACTCTTTTTAGAAACCCTTTCATGAAACTAATAAGTTATGAAAGTTTTGTTATGCTCTGTCAACAACGTTTTTAACTCATCTGGAGGAATTTTTCCCCGATAATACTTTTGTGAACGAACAAGTAAAGTTGAACTTCACAAACATTATTAAATATATACAAATGTGCTTGAAGAACTATATCTCAGTCAAATGTCTTAAAATTTAAACCTTAAATACCTCTACCATCATATCTTCCATCATGACGAGACTCGGAAATTCCTATAGTGTTCGCTTTTGACAAATAGTTTATACAAAACTTAATAGTTTTTTCTGTAATGTACCATTCAATAATCAAAGCTTTCGAAATATGATGATTCTTTGTATACCCTTTAAAGATCTTCATGTATCGCTCTACCGGATACATCCACCATAAGCAAACTGAACCACTAATTCCAATCTCTCTTACTAGATGAACAACTAAAAGAGCTGTAATTTAAAAAAATGATGGAGGGAAAAACATCTCTAATTGACACAAGATAATTACAGTCTCATATTCTAACTCATCTAAATTTCCAGGATCAATGACATTACTACATATAACATTGAAGAATAAGAAAACTCTGGTTATAGTTACCCGTACATTTTTTGATAGAATGTCACGGACAACCACTGGTAGATATTGTTGTATCAAACATGAAAATCATGAGATTTTAAGCCAACTAATTTGATATCATTCATTGAAACAAGTTTCTTCACATTTGATGATTACCCTTGGGGAACTTTGTTACCCAACAAACAATCGCAAAAAGTTTTTTTCATATTTAGACAGAGTGTGACATGTTGGGGTAAATATGTTCTATTTCCAATATCTTTTGGGGATAACTCTTTTTCCCATACTCATCACCACCATATCTTCATGGGATTTCTTAGTATCTTTTGTCTTGCCTTTAATGTTTAGAAGTGTTTTAATCAAACTATCACATACATTTTTCTACACATGCATCACATCAAGACAATGTCTTACTTCGAGTATGACCAATATGGAAGATCAAAGAACACCGATCTATTTTTCCAAATATTTTGTAATTGGTGGAAGCATGTATCTTCTTCACATATAGGATAAACTTTATGTCCCTTGGCGATGTACTCAGACAAATTATTGTATGAAGGAAAGTCATTGATTGTGCAAACCAACATGGGATGCAGCTTAAAGTTATCACTTGTATACTCGTCATCAACATCAACGTTACTCCCACAAAATTCTTAAATATTCAATCAATGGCATTAAATAAACATCTATTACATTCCCTTGTTGTTTTGGACTCGAAATAATCATTGATAACATCATATATTCGTCCTTCATGCACAACAAATGGGATAGGTTGTAAATCATGAAAAGAACATGCCATGAAGTATGATTAGTACTTAAATTACCAAATGAGTTCATTCGGTCGGTGGCAAGTTCAAGACTAAGGTTCCCTGGCTCAAGGGAAAATCTAGAAATAAAGAATCAATTTTATTCCATTAGAATGAATCAACTACATGGCGAATTTTTCCAGCACATACTCTTTCATATGCATTCCATTTGGTATTATTTACGTCATTGACGTTAGCAAACAATCTTTTAAACCTTTGAATTATCGGTAGGTACCACATCACCTTGGAAAGAACATCATTTCTAGTTACACCGTCATCATTTTCAACACCATTGTCATTTTGCTTGTAGTGTGAATCCCCACACTTCGGGTTTTCCTTCAAGTTTTCATACTATGTGTCATATCTCAAATTTGCCCGCCTTATTTTCTACGGTCAAATAATTTTTAAAATTGCTTTTATAAATTTCTTTGGTTTACTTACACTAATATTTTATATAATTCTACAGTCAGATAAAGTCACGGGTTCGGGTCTTACTGGTTCTATATTTTTAATATTTTTCCTTTCATTTGTTACTAACTTTATTTTCATTTTCAAAATCACATTTTTTAATTATTTAATTACTATTTTCGTTTTCCTTTATTTATTATATTTTAAAAATATTATTTTTTATTAAAACCATTATTTTATATAAAAAATAGTCAAAAATCTAAAAATAAATAAAATCCTTTTTAGATCAAATCTTTTTTAAATTGTATCTTGTACAGAGTCATAAATAGGATCATATTCTTAGACTTGCTGACCAAGATAGAATCAGAAATTCTGAGTTTTTTTTATTTTGGATAATTTCCTTTTTTGGTGTTTTAACATAATTTTTCAGTCTATAAATAGCCCTCTATTTTAATAGAACATTTGTTAATAATTTGTTTTAGTTTTGATGTAAAATTATAAAGTGTGTGTCATTTTGGGTTTTCATTTTGTGTAATTAATGAATATTTGTTGTACAATATTTCAGATTGAGGAATTGACATGTCAAAATGTACAATGTCTCTATTTTAAGAATCTGCAAAATATGATTATGTATTATGTAATATGGTTCTGTAATACAGGTGCAAACGTAAGTAAAAAAACATAACCCCTAGGTTTTAACTTAAAATCAATGTAATAACACTGAGTTATTATCTCGGTTCTACAAAATACCGAGATTTAATATTACGTGCTATCCAGTTTTGAAAATAATAAAAATGTTGTTCGAACCCACGAGCAGATAAATAACCCCTTAACTTTTAAACAACCGAGGTGATAAAGGATATCTTTTCATGACACATTTTGTTACCTTGCTTTCGTAGGTGAAATTAAATGTATTTCTCGTCTGAAGTAAGAAGCGTTATTTGTAGTAGTGAAATTTTGTCATGAAATGAAATATTTATAATAGTGGTGTAATTCAAAAATCTTAAAGGAGATAGAGAAGCCATTAGACTTCACAAGTGGTATTGGTGAGGGCATAATATTCTGTGTCTGAAGAGGATCTAAAAATAATGTGTTTCTTTTTACTCTTCAAGCTGATGAGAGGACGCTCTAAGTAAAAGTAGAAGTATGTTGTGGAGAGTCTGATATCATGGAAAGCCCTTCAATCTGAATCACTAAAACCTGTGAGCATGTGCAAATAATCAATTTTGAAAAGTAATTATGTGAACCAGTATTTTTCATGTATTAGAGGATTTGAAAAACAACTTGAGGATGTATATTAGTAGGATAGGATAGGAACTGGTTCAAACTGCAAACAAAAAATTAATATCAAGTCTAGTATGTGTCAAATATAATAACAACTATAAGACATCTAAAGGTTGTGGAATTGGATAAGGGGTTTCTACTGTAGAATTGATTGTTGGATAATTTATTGCAAGTCAGAAAATGTTAAATATTGTAGTGTATGTTACCTGAATTGTTGGGGATGAGATGAATAGGAGTATCTTGGATGAGAGAATGATAATCTTCTAAATATGTGGGTGGTCTAGTAATCTTATTGGATTTGTCTATGGCTTAAGGAGGTTGGTTGGGGATATTAGAGGCATAAGTTGATATGTTCGGTATGTGGACATGCAAAGGCATTGTAGTGGTGGGAATGGTAGTTGTAGGAGTAGTATTATTGGTGTTGGGCGAAGTATTTGTGGGATAGTCTAGAGAGTAGTCAAGGGGATGATTATGGTTTATATGAGGAGATGATATAATTTGAATGTTTGGGGTAGTGGATGTGAATGGAAAAATG